TATGAAAATTCAAACATAAAATATGTTAAATTATGGCTAAGTTATCTATCAAATATTTGTATTTATATTGCCGAATGCTATAATGTTATAGTTAAACTATTAACAAATATTTAATGAATATCTATATTTGATTTTATGCTAAGTAATACCAAACAATATAAATTCAGCTTAAATTTAATTATAAAAAATTTAAAAATTTAGCAATAATTCAATATGTCGAATAATCAAATTTCGATTAGTGTTAATTAAATTATTTTATATTTTATAATAATATTTAAAGATACTTGTCTATTACTACAAATTATGATTTTGCTATTAGTTTGTTATAAGAAATATTATAAAAGTAACAATAATTTTGATTTTTTAAAACTTATTATAATTAGTTAAGATATTTTATATTCTATTGAATATAAATATTCTTTATTTTTTCTTGTTTATATAATAAAGTAAAAAAAAATTAAATTTCTAAATTTGAATATATTTAGTTTAATATATTTTTGATATTTTTTATATAGTTTTACTAAATATAAAGGATTTTTTGTTATAAATTTTTTTTTTAAAAAAAATTTTACATAAATGAAAAAAACTTAAATAATATTGTTTTATAAAATTTTTTTCTTTTTATTATTTTAAAGTTTTTTTTATAAATTATTAAAGTAACGATTTCTATTATTAAATAATATTGTTAAAAATTTTTGTATTAATCTTTTAATAATAATAAAACCAGAATATAACAAGTTAAATAATTATATGTAAATTTAAATTATACTAATAAAAACTTAAAGTTTAAAATTAATATTTAATAATTATTTAAATATAATTTTTATTTTTGCAATATATATGAATATAAAAAAATCAGGTTTTGTTAATATTTTTAAAAAAAATATTTTAAATATTTATCATTATTTCAATAAATAAAAAATAGATTTAATAAAAAATATCTAATTTAAATGATTTAAATTATATAAAACACCAATTAATAAATTTTGTAAAAAGTAACAAACAGTATTTAAATTATAACATATATTTTTTATATAAATACTGTATATAATTTTAATTAAATTAACAATATTTATTTTATTTATTTTTTAATTTATTTTTTTAAAAAAAATATAATTATTTAAAAAAAGAAAATTTTGTAATTACTTACTTTTGATTTAACAAAAATGTCATTATATAAATATTCGAATTCAATAATTTTAAATCATAATTATACAGTATTTATAAGTAATTTCACTGTTAATTTTTTTTGTTTTAATTTTAAAAAAGAATTAGAGTATTTTTTTAATATAATCAAAAAATAATAATTTTTTTTTATCTTATTAAAAAAAAACAATTTAAATAAATACAATTTGAAAAATGTTTTATTCGAATCGAACGTTTAATTAATTGATTTCATCATATATATTTATGGATTTGCTAGCTTGAAAAGTTTATCTAATCAAAAAACAAACATTCGTAAATTTTTGATTTGAAAGCAAAGCACGTGAAAAATAAATTCAAGCTTGCTTTGTATTTTTAATTAAGAAATACTTCGGGTCCGATCTTTCCAAAGATGGTAGTGCTCTAGTGGTGATTTTGATTGGTTTGTACGGAAAATACAGTAACTGCGAAGTCCGCAAATATTCCCTTTCTCAGAATTATGGTGTCATCATTTTTAATTTGACCGTCATATAACGACATTATCGTCAGTATCAGGGAACTATGTCTCTAGAAGAGGTACGTGAGAGGAATTTTTCTACCTCAAATTGCGCTTTTATGAAATTTGATGTAATTGCACATGCGGTCCTAACAAAGGTTCCTTTGTTCATTATGTGAAAAATACAGGAGGTTGGCGAATGTTCTGGTATTTCCGTGAATACCTCACTCAGACCACAAAGTCAAACATTGGATTCTACTTCGGCTGAAACACAAGCCAGAAAATTGATCGATGAACTTGACGGGAAAGTGCCAAAATTCGAAACTCTGTATAAGTTGAAAGGACTCGTCGAGAATCCGGACGTTACATTGTCCAGTGAAACGCTAATCGAAGCCCTGAAAGTATTATCACAGTCGACCAGATATGGTTGCTACGTGCACGCCTTACTTCCGGTCTTGCAAGCCATTCTTTCCAGATCAAAGAGGGAACCAGTTTTTGAGACAGCATATACGCAACTAGCAAGCTTCACCGATTCTTATAATTTTACAACGGAGGAAGTCGGTAAGGGAGTGCTGCTTCTACGCGC